GAACATTTGGGAAGGTTCCTAATCTCATTTTTTCACCCCCCCCTAAACCCCCACCTACCTTTTGGTCCCTGGCGCTTATTTTAGTTGCATCAGCAGCTGTTTATCCAGGGGGCGACTGCTTTGGGTCCAGCCAAAGCCTTGGTTCAGTCTCCCAGTGCCACCAACAATGCTCGTTTTTTATGCTGTTTTGAGTTTGAAAGCAAAAGAGTCTTAAAAAGGTTAGATTAAGATGTGTCTTAAGGAAAGATATCCTAATATCGGTCAGGGTCATTGCATATGCTTGGGTTCTGTGTGATAAAGCTCAAGCGCAAATCCCTCTTGCAATAAAGAAAAGGAGCCGTGTGGCACCAGGAAAAGCCCTGAGCAGAACAGAAGGCTACAACTTGGTGGTGGGGGGGGGGGATGGAGAAGAGGGAAGTATGGGGCACAAGGAAGAATAACAAGAAAAGTTTGATTCCACATATTTTTTTCCTTAAAAATGATGACTCACCAGTGGCTTTCCGCTTTAAAATAAAGGTTTCTTTCTTTCTTTTGTAATTTTTGGGACATGCTAGAAGGTCTCAAAATAATAGTTTAATTTTCCAGTAATGTGGCAAAGTTTATCGGACTGGGGTGTATAATTATGGAATGGATTAGTTGATTTCGGTTCAGTGCATCTGATTATTTTCTGGCCTTTAGGGAAATGCGCTAAAACCATAATATGTCCAGTACCCCCAAGCGGTCTCTTTTTGAAGACACTGCACAAAATGTGGTCTCTACCAGCGCTTGGCCTCCAAGGATCTTCAGTGAGAGACATTATTCTTGGAATATCCAATTAATTCCACGGGCAGTGATCAGTTAGCGCTTCTTCTTCCTTTCTCGCCATTTGAAATGCTAACACAATGAATATTTTCTCATTGGTCTGTGTCCCTCGGCTAAGCTGTTGCCGCGGGCTGAGAATTTCATCGACTGATGAGACCAGAGGCTCCGCCGATAAAAGGTTACAGTACGTGATTTGCATGCCAAGTGGGGTTTGATTTCATGAACTTAAAAGTTCTTTAACTTTTATTTGACTTTTTTCCCTTTGGTACATAGGACAGGGAGGGGCGAGTGTATTTGTGTGGTTAAAATTATCAGATATGATATTGTCACAATAATGTTTTGAACCCCTTAGAGGAACTATGGAGAGTTAAGCAAGATCTTTTTGTGCGTGTTGCCATCTTTTGTATGTATAAACCAAACCATAACCAACATCTCAGGATCAGGTGTACTAAATCCCATCTCTCAGTTTTATATCCTAATTTTGGGTTTCCCAAATATCTCTCTTGAGGGCTTGATAGCTTTCGTTCTATTGCTATATAGTATCTTTGCATTCATATTTTACCACACTATTTATTTAAGATAACTGCAAGTCATTGGGTAGGCATGTGTAAAAAATGAAGATGTCCTTTTCTTCTGAGTAGCACTAATCAGTCTTGGCTACCTGAAAAAGGAGGCATTCCATTTTCAAGGGTAAGTTTGAGATTGTGATGGAATATTGAGTTGCATCAAGCACAAGAAAATGGACAACAACAAAAAACTATTAGCTCCAGCTTTCACTACCATTGATGGTAGATTAGATTAGAGTGGACTAGATAGAGCATACAAAGGTTTGGTTGCTGAACTCTTCCTCAGCTAGACAAAGCACCATGGCCTATAAGGCCAATGGCAATTCTCTTTTCTCTTTCTCTCTCTCTCTCTCTCTCTCTCTCTCTCTCTCTCTCTCTCTCTCTCTCTCTCTCTCTGTCTCTCTGTCTCTCTCTCAAGTTGGAATGATCCATGTTGATTTTGGATGATAATAGATGTGACTTCTGATCTGAGAAATACTTGGTTGGCGAAGGGGGAAGAGGGGTGCGGTAAAGATACCCCAACACCCTTTCTCAAAAAGGAGAGAGTTAAGGAAAAAGTCAGCTTTCGACTCACAGTAATCTCAGAGGCAGGGTAATATGATCGGAGACTTGACATATTTCAACTGAATGAAAAATCATGAAACCTTTACCAAAATTGTTAGCAAAAAGGGAACTGGCGGGGGTAGATATGGAAAACGGTCCCTCTCTTCCCCCTCCCCTCTTACCCTTCTTCCTTCCTTCCTTTCCCTAGCTGTCTATGAGGAGCAAAGCAGGTGGCTCCCTGTGGCTGACTCTTCATGACAACATGCCATTAGAAATCGCTGTCCTGTTGATCAATCCTCTCGACATGACAGATTTGCCGCAAGGCCTGGCTCTTTGAGCGCCAGCACTGTGCTTTTTCCCTCCTTTTTTCCTGCACTAATTGGTGAAAGTTTTTTTTCCTGTGCTAGTGGCAGAGGAAATTCTTTTGAACGTTATCACAATCAAGTGTTGACTTCTTTAGAATTTGCAAGTAGGTTAAGTGAGTATCAACATTCAAGGGGAAAAGCACAAACACAATACGTAATGGCATCTAAATTTGATTGTTAAACGTAAAATTGGGAAAAACACATTGATTAAACTATCAAAAAATTCTGAATTGAAGGCATTTATTAAAACTATGGCCTTTTAAAAGGTTTTTTTTTGTGGGGAGGCAGAGGAGTGGGGGTGGGGAGTGCTGTATTACTGCCACATTTTGAATCTCAAAATTGAAATTGGTAGTAGAGATCCGCTGAAAGAATTTTTTTTCTTCTACTTATGGGAGGATCCAGAACAATAATAATAAAACAATATAATTTAATATATTATAAATCAAGAGATGTAGAAATTAGTTTTCTTCTATAACATCCAATTTCAGATCAAACAATTAAGTGTTCTTCTGCCAAAACACAACTAAATAAAAAAGGGAAAATTTGTTCCCCAATTTGGATTGCTTATTAGATCATTAGAGTAATAGAAAAAGTTTTAATTTTTTTTGGTGTGTTTTCTTAAAAAATACAAAAATTTCAGTGGTGATTTAAAGCATCAGATTTAGAGATAAATTTTGTTTAAAGCTTGTGTCAGTTACACTCATCATTAGGGGCTCCTTTCTCTAAGAAAAAAAGTAATTTACAGTGGGTTTAGACATACTATTTATAAATGTAAAATATCTTCTAATTGTATAGTTTATAAATGTGATTTTTAAATAATCCACTTTTTTTATTTTAAAATTCTATTAGATTATCCATATTTTAGCAGTTTTTAGACTGTATGTATGCTCCATGGTTTCATATGAAAGAATCAAAGATAGTTGATTATTTTACAGTTAGACTTCAATATTCATTCACACATTACAGATTTAATGACGAGGCACATATAATCCTGAAAATTTGCTGAAGTAGAATGGAAATGGAACTAAATAAAGAGAAGACAAAACTCGTGGTGGCCAGTGGTGGAAATGCCGAAAAGATAATCAAAGAGGAAGCTGTTTCTCTCCAATGATATCTAACTAGCATGGAATAGAATCAAATGAACGAAATTCTTACCACTCATCTGAAGCCATTTGATAGTTAATTTGCAATAAATCATTTCAGTTTTAGCAGCAAAAAAGAGTGCTGAAAGAGTGGAAATCACAAAAGTCTCAAATTGGAGGAGCAATCTGTCCACATAGTTTGCCTCTGCAGTTCTAATTGTTCCCATTATTTTTTAGAGGGAGGGCACTTTAACGGAAAGAAGCCTAAATTCCCATAATTAATTTTGCCATTGTAAAAATCATTTGCTAAAATTTGCATTATTAACATTATCAAGTCACTAGTTGGTAAGACATCAGACATGATGAGTGTGAAGGGCAGCTTAGGGAGAACTGGCTTTAAACCCTCAGCAGATCGGAGTTAGGATCAAAGGCGCTTGTTTTATGTGGCTGTGCTAGACTTTGAAGTCATGACTGAACCTACAGCACTCATTTCATCAAGTTCACTGGTGTCTTAATAGCAGATCAATAAGTTTCAAAGTCGGAGAGTTAATTTGATACTAGTGCTGATGCGGTCGTGCTGGGGAAGCAGAGGAAAAGAGAGAGAGAGAGAGAGAGAGAGAGAGAGAGAGAGAGAGAGAGAAGAGAGAGAGAGAGAGAGAGAGAGAGAGGGAGAGGGAGAGGGAGGAGAGAGAGAGAGAGGGAGAGGGAGGGAGGGAGAGAGAGAGAGAGAGAGAGAGAGAGAGAGAGAGAGAGAGAGAGAGAGAGCGAGCAGCCCATTAACAGCTATGACAGAGAGGTCCACAATGATGGGGATGGTTATCTATAACAGTGAAATGGCAAGTTCAGTCCGACCTGAAATCAGAAAACTGTAGAATAAAGAGACAAGAGGTCCTTGTTTTAATAAACTTGAATTATATAGAAGGAAGGTATTTGGTGTTTCAGTAGTCTTAGGGCTGAGACATAGCTGCATAGCAAATTGTGTATATAGAAGATTTTATATCTCATATAAATGGGATACTCATTATCATAAAATAACAAATTCAAACAGCAACAAAAAAGGGAAAACAGTAGCCAAACCGCCTAACAGTGTCTCTTTTCAAAAATGAGGCAAATTAGGGCCACTGAAGCTTTTTCTTTCCTTCCTTCCTTCCTTCCTTCCTTCCTTCCTTCCTTCCTTCCTTTTCCTTCTCCTTCCTCCCTCCCTCCTGGTTCAAAAACTATATGGGTAAGGAAATTTTGTGTTTTTCAAATATTTGGAATCAGAAATTTTTTAAAAACATTACCAGGTGACAATATATTGAGTTAGGTTTTTTTTTATTCTAACAATAACAGTGAAAGGAAAAAAACTGGTCTCCAAAAAAAACTCAGCTAAAGTCTCAGTACCTACCTCCCCACCCCCCTTTTCCTGTTTTTTTTGAATGCACAGTTCACACACACACACACACACACACACACACACACACACACACACACATAAGTGGAAAGGTGAGAGTCCCTAGTTTCTGGGTACTTACTATCTGTCTCTCTTTTGCTATAAATGAATTTGTTCGATGCTTTCTAATTTTATGTGTCGTCTTTTTACTATGCCCCCAAAGTTGTCTTGGATGTAGGAAAGCCAACAGTGGTAAATTCTATGGGGGGGGGGGTGTTTGAGAGAGTATACAGTTGGGCTGTGGTGCAAAGTATCCTTTCTTTTGTTGTTTGTTTGTTTTTTTGTTTAGAAGGGATCTTTGTTGTTGTGTTTGTTGCTTAGGTCCTCATGACCGATAAGGATAGCCATGAGGCGATGATAGTGCTTGGCAGTACTAGTGACTGTGGCAGGAGAGGATTGGGGAATGTGTGGGTGGGGGAGAATCATAGTTCAACAAAATGATTCTAATCTTGAGAAACGTCGAGTAGGAGCCTTTTATTGGGGGGGGTATGCAGAAAGAGGTGGTATCTTCTTAAGAACTTTGCCATCTGTGTATGTACAGCAGCGGCTCCCTAACACTGGAGGTCAGATTCACACCCTTTTTGAACAAAACTCTAATTTAGAATGTTCATCTAAGGGTTGATAATGGTATTAGAAGGCCAGTGGTGGGGTGGTCAGTGGGTGTTGTAGATTAGCGCAGTGGCCATTACAGCTTTAGCTAGACCCCCACGATTCATTGGGTAGATTAACCATCACATCTGCCATTTTATCCCTTTTATTTCTCCCCTTTTACCACATTTAAAATATGAAGGGGGGAGAGAGGGAGAAAAATCATCTGGAAGACAATTGATAGAAACAAGACAGGAAAGCAAGCCATATCAAAGAGGTCCAAGAAATGGCTGTAGCCAGATACATGTATATCTCTATTATCTAGATATTTATCTTTCTGTAGTTATATACATATCATAGGCATAGGTGACATATGTGTGTTGAAATGAACTTGGTGAATTCAAATAAATTGGTTCTATCAGGTAAGCCTCAAGCTTTTGGACTTCATTCCTTTTATTCATCCTGTTTTGAAAAGAAAAGGACCATGCTTTAATAATTTCTCTTATATATTTCTGTTATTCAGCTGATTCTATCCTTCTGGATCTAATATAGTGTTACTTTAATTTCTTTCTTTTTTTTTTTAAGAACACAACTGAAACCAACTTATATTTAGACTGACTATATCCGAAATTAGAAAATCTTAGCTCCTAATATTGTAATAGATATTCTGTCTTTTCAGGGACTTGATATCTGCTGCTTGTATGTGGGTGTGTTTTTAAGAGTATGCTGTTGCCTCTGTGTTTATTACAGAAAGATGTCACTGTTAAAGGGAATTTAAGAGTTTCTGTAAATGTAATGGTTCATCCTGAATAAAGTGAGAGAGACAGTGCTTGGAATCTGGGGAATAGGGTGGAAGGAGCTGTAGCTGATGAAGGTGTTTCTTGTCAAATTTGTGTAGGAATTATTTACCGTGCTGCCGACAGTGAAAGTGAAGACATGGAAAATTATCCCAGATGGGACGAATTGCTCATTCTCTGTTCTTCTTCTTCTTCTTCACTTTTTTTTTTAAAAGGGAAAGATTTCAGAAAAAGTCTTTTCTCTTAGAACACTATGAATAAAATCTGGACAGCTGTCGAAAAAGATATGCCATCTGCATTTAAAAAAAAATTTCTAGCCACACCATAACTAAATAGCTTGAATAGTACATCTTTTTTTTTCCCTTTGCCTTCATACATAATGATCTCTACTTCATTAAAAGCGTATTAATCTGGTTCCCAGTCTCTTGGGAGACACCTTAAGATGATGATATTGTGGGTTTTTTCCCCCCGAATTGTTTAAAAAAAATTCTAGCAGATTTGGTCCCTGTCAGTCAGAAATAATTGTGTTCTTAATCTTGTCCCTGATGGATGACTCGGAGTTCAGCAACGGGCCGGCTCCAATGACAAATACAATATTAATATTCATTAACTGCTTTGACAATGCTAATTTTGATGCGGTAGTAAAGGGCCTTCCAAAGTTAGCGGCCAAAGCATCAGAGCTGTGCAAGGTGGCAAGATAATTTGTGCTGGTTTGCTGAGCTGAAGGCTTTTAAAGTCTATAGCAAAAAGCTAGGTACCACAAACAAAAAAGAGAAAGGGGAAAAAGTTCTGAAGCATTGGAAGGCAGGGCTGCGGAAATAATACGATCACAGTCCGCTAAAAAATTTGACACCTCTGATGCAGTTTCTTTGAGTGAAATTTCTACAAAGTTGCAACAAAAAAAGCATAGCATGGTAAGTCAGCACATTCTTGATTTTGTTTAATCTTTTTGATCTTTTCAATTATCGCTATTTGAAGATCAATAGTCATTTTTTCCTACTATGCTTAGAAGACTCGCAGCGGTGGTTTAATATGTGTTAGGACCATTTGCTTTAAAGGAACACATCCACAAGTTTCTGTGGGTGTTTTTTTTTTTTACTTAACCAGAACAATTTTTTATACAGTAAATGGTTCTGATTTTTTTCCATATTGGGGGCTTTTTACAGTCTGTTTTTGTTTTTTCTTAAAACTAATAATAATTCAACAAGATTAATAACTAAGCTGTGGATATTGTCCAGGATTTCCGAGGGCAGTTCTGGCTGGCAAGAAAGAAAGGAAAAAAAAAAAACTTAGAGCGGAGCAATCCTCTAACTTTATTCCAAATTCAAATACTTTCTCCCCCTTCTCTGAATGGAATCAAATAGCTATTAAAGCTTAATTTCACTGGAGAACTGCAAAGCACTACTTTCACCAACTTAGGTGAACTTCTATGGAGTATTGAAATTGCCTTTATGTTTGCCAAGTCGGCAAACAAAATATCAGTCTTTGTTCTTTTGACTGAATTCTGGGGGTTGGGAAAAGAGCTTCTCTTCCCCCTACCTCTGTACTCCCCCCCTTTGGTGGATTGTTATTGAATGGGGGGGGGGATTTGAGTTATTGTGTTCTTCCCTATCAAGCGAGATAATTCTGTGAATGGAACTGTACTTGAGCATCTTTGCTGAAGAGCTGGCGTTGTGTGTCTGGCTCCCGTGTTTATCTGTTCAGTGCAGCTCAGTTGTGAATGGTGTAGGGTGGGTGCTGCCCTCCGGTGGAGCAGCCCAACACCAATGTGATTGCACATCCATGTAAGTACGGTAATATACCCAACGGCAGCATGCTTGAAACCAGGCAGCGTGAAGGAGCCCGATTAAAACCGTGGTAAATGGTAAGCTATCCTTCTCAGCGAACAACAGCCATCCTTTGCCTTTGCTTCATGTCGACTTCTGCCTACTTTGGTTGTTTGTGCATTTCTATTGCATGCTAGTGGCTTCTAGGCTTTGGAATGTTATCTGTCAATTTGAAGTAACTTAAAAGATTGATGTACTTCTAACTGCTGAGATGCCTGGTAGAACTGAGGTCTTAGTTTAGTTTTTTTAAAGTTTTTTTTCTTTTAAAAAATTCTATTGGAATACCTTTTTATTCAGAAACTTGAGTCAGTGACTGGGGAAATGTGTTTTTTATGATTTATAATTTAGAGATGAAGTGATCGTGTGGGCTTTGGGTTAATGTCCCCCACAAGGCTACAGCAATGTAGTAACCCCCCCTTCACATCCCTTCCCATTCCCAAAGTTTTTAGTGAAACAGCAGCATTTTCTATTTATCACATATAATATCCCCCTATCTGTTGCCTCCCTTTCTCAGAAATCTCTAGAAGAACCTGCAACAATAAAAAATAAACTAACAACCCCCCCCAACATCCAGCAACAAACTTGAAGGGGGTATGGGGAAATGGTTGTGTTCCGGATCAGGGAATATGTGATATAAAACCAAAGTTCTAGTTTGGTCTTCCCAGCCTTCCTCTTTAACCCCCTCCATGATCTCCCCACACCCCCCTCCTCTCCAGTGATTGATTGCAATTTCATACTAAAAGGAAGAGAAGTTCTTGGATCTATTTTTAGGACACTTTGCAACTACTGATACTTCAGTTTTAAAAATACACATACATACGCCAAAAAAAGTTTAACAGAACCTAGCTAATTAGTGATCCTTTTTTCCCTTTGGCTGACTTGCGTACAGTTTGAGAAATTGTAATGGCATCATGTGAAGTAGAGGGATAGGGCAACTATCAAGTGGCTTTAGTTTCCTAGGAGGAGTGAGTTGGAAGAAATTTAGAGATTCATCAACTGCTTTTTCTCCATCTTCATCACTTTTTTGTGTGTGTATGTGGTAGAAGAGGAACCCGGAATGTGTTGGCCCATCTTGTGGTCTTCATCTATCCTCTCCTTTGAAAAAGCCAAAACATAAATTCTCAGTGCTCGCCCTAGAGTTGCTGCACTTTATAAGTTATTGTTACTAAATGATTAGGAACTGTCCATCACCAGGGAGAGAACTTGCAGTTTACTTAAGAAATTGCCTGGGTGACAAAGGCAGGCGATGCAGTGTGGTGGTCCCTGTGAATAGAGGGAGGGCAGGCAATTAGCTGCCGTGTTGTTGGGGCTTTTTACTTGTCAAGCTGGAATCTCACTGCTTTTGTTACTACCATGTAAGGGGAAATAGCAGGGTTTTGTTTTGGTATTAAGGGCCTTAAAGATAGCTGCCTGACACTTACCCAGGAAGGCCAGATAAGTACAGAAAGAGGGGAGAGAAGGAGGCTGTTTGGTTTTTGTTTTTGTTTTTTTTTTTAAAGAGGATGAAGAATTCTTTCTTGTTTGTTATTATCCTTAAACCCTTCCCAGTCTTGTTTTATTTTGGGGTGAGAGTGTGTGTGTGTGTTTTGGGGAGGAGGTTATTAACTTGTTTAGTATATTAACAGAGTGTTTAAAAGCATACGTCATATAAACAATTCTGTGTGTTTGCAGATAAGGAATATAGCAATCAGTTTTCCAAATTAAAAACATCTTCCTTGTGTCAGTGGTAGTGGCAGCCAGAAGAAAATAAATCTCTGCAATTGCTTTTGCTTCTAGCAAGATAGGCGCAACTCCCATGTGGCAGTAGTGTTTTCACTACCTGTATAATCTACCTGTGTGGGGAACTCCCCCCTTTTTTGGCAGGGGCAATGTGGGGTGGGGGGCGAGGACCATGGATTCCTAACACTTTATGGGGTAGAGGTGGAGTTAGAAGGACTTATTAGGTTGACATTTAGCTAGTCAGTCACTTTCATCCCATCATTAGATCTCCTACCTTGTAAAAGAGGATTGACTCTATTTCTGTGTGTTGTCTGAACTAGCTAGCTCAAATTAAGTAAAAAAAAAAAATGCCCTTGTATCATTTCTGAGGTACAGGAAGAAGTAAGTTGGGTTGGTAAGATTCTGTGATGGCCTGTGCACTCTTCTCACACATTTTTTTTCACCTGAGAAAACTTCAGAATACAATAGCTGTTGAAAAGTGATCAGGTACTCTGGCTGTTGGAATTCCAGTGAACACAGAAGACTCAAATTCTTCTGGTTGTGTCTTTTCCGGAGCGGTCAGTTAAAGACCGTTAAGGCATAGTCAGAGCGGTCAGTTAAAAACCGTTAAGGCGGTGGGTGTGTAGTAAGGGAGGACCAGAGCTAAGTCAGGCCCTGCAAAGTGTCACTTCTATGTCAGGGTGACAAGAAAATACCCCCTCCCCCACCCCATTTGTCCCCTGGCAGCTCTCTCCCTAAGATATTTGTTTTGAGAGACTTGACGCTCTTCCTGATAAAATGACTACTTGGTATACTTAGTTGGTCATGCTCCCTTATGGCTGGCCAGGATTACCTGCCTACTCTCAGGTAGTACCTGTGCTTCTGTAGCACTGTCACTGCTGCCCAAGTTAACAGGAGAGTAAAGGGAGGCGGGAGACTTTTCCGAGGTGCCTTGAGCAGGCAAAAAAATAGGCCTGTTTTCCCTCAAAGGCTCCCAAAGTGGTAAAGATTAGGGAACTAGCGGGCGCTTTTCTTCAGTTGTTTTTGCTGCAACCAGCAAACCTCAGCTACACTTTAGGGAAAAAAGAAAAAGAAAAGACTAAAACACTTTTTTTTCCTAGGCAACATGACAGTGGATTTTGAGCATTCAGAATATACCAGGCCCCAAAATTGGAGACATCTTGATCTTTCAAGATGCTTTTTTCAGTACTTTAAGTGAAAGGTGGGAAGGGAGGGAAAGGTGGGAGGGAAAAAAAGGTGAGAAAAGCTGTAAGAAAAATAATAGACAAAAAAGAAAAGCCAAAAAAAGCCCCCAAAAAACCCAAACTGGCACAATCCACATCTCAAAGGTACAGCAAAAGTTTTAGAGGTAAAGGGAAGGAAAGCCAAAGCTGTTATGTACCCAAGGGATGCAATTTTAGTGGGGATGGAAGATTTGAGTGGTAAAGGAGCAGCAGTAGCCTCTGGGTTCTCTCTCTTCCAGCAGCTGGGCTGTTGGCATCTCAATTTGAATTGCTGGGTGAGTAGCACTGAGTAGCATATTGTGTGTGTATGTGTGTGTGTGTGTGTGTGTGTGGTGTGTGTGTGTATGTGAATCTGCACACCCTTTTCAGTCCTGACCATTGAACTTCCTCTGTGACTTTTTGTTATTATTCTAGTGGATGTATGCCCCCCTTCCCTCTCCCCCCCCAAAAAAAAAGAAAAAGGGAAAAAAAGGACAAAGCGGTCACCTCAAGCTGTGACCTTATGCTCTGTATATTTGACAGTACACTTTGAGGGGAACCATTTTTCTTTTCTTTCTTTTCTATTTTTAAAAGCTTGTCTTAAGTCCCAGTACTTACATTTCTATCACAATGTGAATCTACTTGGTCTACCTTCCCAAATAAAGCCGAGCCCCACTCCAGAAAGGAGTATTTTTGTTTGGGCTTTCTATAAAGCTGATTTTTTTCCTCTTCTTCCCAACCAGGGTGGGCTTGGCGGGGGGCATGGTGGAGAGACAAAAATGACACTTCTTCACAGATAGCATGCTTTCTAAACCTTACATATTTCCAAGCAAGTAGCTTTTTCCGGTAGTAGGATTTGTGTAAACTGTGTATGCTTGTTCATATTTTATGCTAGCATTCTGTTATTCTGTCTTTAATTGTGTTTATTTTAAATCTCCAGATTTAGATGCAGGCTTTTAGTGGTTCAGTCTTGCTTCTGGTGTTCATGCTCTCTTAATTCAGAAAATACAGAATGTGTGATTTGTTTTAGAAACCTGAGGAAGAAGCCCATTATGCTGTTAATGATTAGGGAGAAAGCCCTTCTCTGCAATCCCACTCCTGGTTTGGGGAGAAATGACAGTATCCTTTCCAACTGCAGTGACCAGCAACTTGGCTGGCCCAGGCTAGAAGGTTGCTGTCCCTTTGAAGCCAGAGGCATTGCTTCATTGTTTTCAATGTGTGGGAGTCCCATCAATGATCAGACTTATAAACATTTACATCGATCATATCTTCAAACTGGTATGAAATGGGAGTGTTTGAAGGGTGTGGGAAAGGTTTTTCCAATTCTTTAGCTTTTAATGCTTTGCTCCACTGTTTAAATGTGAGAATGTAAAGAAGAAAGTTTTCCTCTTTTCAACCGTAAAGGAATGACCAAAGAATGTCTTGGTATTTCTTTTTGACAACATGAAGTATCTGGTGAAACAGATTATGTATAAATCCAGAATTATGTGGGAGAAACTACAGCTGTGTATAGCCACGGTGTTTCCTTCACTCAGTTTCTCATTAAATAGCAGTCTGTCCTTTCCAGGTTTTTGGATTATTTCGGGCCTTTACATTTGTTTGTTACATGACTTGCCTAGTTTGTTTTTAAATGCTGCTGTTGGAATGAATCATTCCATTTCTTCTCTTAGAGTCATACATAAAAGAGTTGCTTGAAAGGGTAAATTCCTGACTTAAATGATACAGATATTAAGATCTTTGCTCTGTCATAACATGCTCCTAAAAATATACCTTTTCTGAACGTAGCAGACCCTGCAATCCTATATTCTTAGAGAAACCTCTCCTTTGTAGCTTGGGGCCAGTGGGGGCCTGACTGAGGGGTGTCATAAAGTTCTTCCCCTTCTGCAATATTTTGGAATGTGTTGAAATCCTGACATCTTCCAGATTATGTACTTTTGCACATATTTGTAGTATTCTGTTCTATTTGTGTGTGTGTTTTAAAATTGAACTGGCTTTAATTCACTATTTGTTTGCATCATTTCCATGTGTTGTCTAAAACTTCTAGCTTACCTTCAGCAGAGGAAGAAACATTATTTTCAAATGTAGTTTCATTATTTAATGGCTCTAAACATACAATGGAATTACATGGTCTTCCTTCCTTCCTTCCTTCCTTCCTTCCTTCCTTCCTTCCTTCCTTCCTTCCTTCCTTCCTTCCTTCCTTCCTTCCTTCTTTCCGTCCGTCCGTCACCAATGTGGTGGCTTATATATACAAAAAGCAATTTCTTCTCCTTACCCCACCCTATCATCTCTGCTACCTCCCCAGCCCCCAGTAAGTTGCCCTGCCCTTTTATAGGTGAGAAAAATCCACATGATATATGATAGGACTTCTATAAAATAATTGTTTTATGGATGCACTTAACAAACTCTAGGGTAAAGCTGTTATTTAGACCCAGTGTTGGACAATGGTGATACTGTAGGAAAAAACTTCCATCATCTCACCCAAGCTATTAATACATTGATAAGTCATTTTAATTAATTGAGATGAAGTAGAATCAGAAATATCAAATATTATGAGCTTCACTTTTTCCATCCTATCCCAAATCAGGAGGATGAAATGTCTCTCTCTCCCCCCCCTGCCCATTTCAAATTATATAGTATTTTATTAAAAGTTTTATTTTGGGGGGAGATTGCTTCTTTTGTTTGTTTTTCTCTCTTTTTAAGGAATTGGCTTTGGAAACTTGAAAAAAATTCTTTCATTGGGTTTCTTGAATTGACTGGATTACTTCTCCCGCTCTGTTTAATCTCCATTTTTTTAAGGGGAGCTGTGTGCACTCTCCTTTTCTTTGCCCACGTAGTTTCTGTAAACCAAGACATGTACAATTGTCTAGGTTAGCCCTTAATCACAGAACCTCGAAATTACAGAGAAATATTTTACCAGGGGGAATGAGCCTTCTAATTCTTTACACTTACTTAGGAATGAAAATGGCTACTGTGCTCAGTATCGCTCAGTGCTCAGTGGGAATTTACTTAGTGAAACTTGTGGAGCATTGAGAGTCTGCTGGGAGAATGAAGTCTTTTTCCCTGTCTTGAGGATCCTTTTCCCACCCTCCCCCTGTATTTAGAACATTGGGATGTTGGGGATGCTGCTCCACAGAGCGAAAACGGTCAGGAGCAGGACAAGCCAGAGTCATCCAGGCCAAAGGCATCAACTTCCAAGTGCCTTAAAGGTTAGCTGGGAGAGACACAATAGGATGCTTTCTTTTTATTGGAAACTAAATGAGAAGGAGTAGAAATAAATTATGGTTAATGAACTTAGCAGGAAGTAATTGTTCAAGAGCCTATGAAAGCCCTGCCTAGCCTAAATGAAGTCTACTCAAAGTTTTCCCATCATCATCATCGGCTTTTGGCAATTGTTTAATTGTGAGATTGGGTGGTGTGGTAGTGGTGGTGGTTACTTCCCCTTCCTCTTTTGTGATATAGGAAGAAACATATTTAAGAGGAGTTTGAGCCCTTCGCCATTTAAAGAGATGCATTGGCAGTCTGTTTGACATACCACTAGTAGGGGTTTGTGCATACACACACACACATACACACCTATATGCACGTGTGTGTGTGTGTGTGTGTGTATATATATATGTATATATGTATATGTGCTTGTGGTTATATGTGTGTGTGTATATGTGTGTATATACATACATATACATACACATACACATACGTGTGCTAAATGCTGAAGGTAGTTTGAGTTAGCTCTGTTTGTGTGTATGTGTATAAGAATTTGTATGAAAATTGGTTGTACATTTCTCCTTTCCCTGCCCCCTTCAATCAGCTCTGTCATAGAAAGAATGTTAAAAGTGCCTGTGTGAGTTCATGAGAACTGATGAGTTGGCAACATTTGGTTGCAGACATGGGGAATCTTTGCTCTTTGTGGTAGCTGTCTAAATTGGGTGTACTTTCAGTGTTTTCTTCAATTAGCAGTAGAATATTTACAGAATCAGGAAACCAAGCAGCAATTCCAGCCTTCTCAGCATCCTGGGTACCCTTGAAGTCGGTAGAGGAGGTCACAATTCAGACTTTGGGGCTGATACTCCTGCAGGCTGTAAGTGTGTTTTGAAAGCATAAAGAGTAAAGGAGAATGTCAGACAGTGTGTTTGGGTGTGTTTGATTGGAATTTTTGGCATGTAATTCCATCCTCTACCCTCCTGACTTCTATGTATGAGAAGTTGGTCCCAGGAGAGAGATGGTATATAAGAAATGGGTACAGGACATATGGGGGGTAGCAATGAGTATGCAAGACAGTGGGATGGGAAAAGAAGGGGGATGCTAGTTTTTTATCTTTTGTTTATTATTCCCACCCTATCCCTTTACCCCCCTT